GAGAAACACTGCTCTAAAGGAATGACATGGACCGCGTATGCCCGAACCCCCCCACCCTCTGCTCCGCCTGAAACGAGGATCGCGGCTGGCTCTAACACCCACGGAAGTCAGCCAGCCAGCCAGCCAGCCTGCCTGCCTTCCCTCCTCCCTCCCTCCATCCATCCCTCCCAACATGAATCGGCTGCTCTTTCACACAACTCTGCTCACTCTCTTACTCTGTTCCCCGGCAACTGCAATTGAGGCAGCCATGTCGAAGTCCGGGCAATCGGCTCCCTTACGGAGTGACTTCCTCTCCCGGTGAAAATGAAAGAGGGAGCAAAGGGAGGGCACTCCTGCAACCTCAGCCAGGAGGGAATTCCTCCTCGCTCTGAGGGTTTTCCATTCCCCCTCCCACGTGTACAAATAGTCCTCTATTTCAGAACGAGTTCCGTTCCCAAGATCTGTCCTTAAGTCGTATTTGTACGTAAGCTGGAACTGTATTATTGTATCATGCTGGATAAGTAGTATTGTGTAATGAACTTGAGCCCTTGTGTATTTAGCTCGAATTTTGCTACAATAGGCTCCAGAACAATTGCCAAAATTACTTAACCCGTGGGAGTTCATTAAGAGTCCTAGTGCAGGAGGCATGAAGTGTGCACCATAAAGCCTGGATCACACGTTGCTTAACACTTTGTCGTCTCTTGTTGTAAGCTACAGTTGTAATTAGGTTCCCTCACCTATTATCTCCAAAAGCCATAATGAGAAGCTACAGTGGTACTTTATGGCAATGCTTCTCAACCTCAGCAACTTTAAGGGGTGTGGACTTCAGCTCCCAGAATTCCCCAGCCAGCTTTGGTTTATTTTGGTTTATGATATTATGCGAATCCAACTATTATGCTTTTAGTAAATCATGATGAGGCAAATGTAGATTAGCACATCAGAGGTTCATTTAGAGTCCATCTACTGCATCATTCAGGCAAGTCCAAGTCCAGAGGGAAAGCATTTCCCTCTGGACTTGCCTTGACCCCCACGTTTAGAAACTCTGAAGACACTCTTTTGCTAGGCTTTTTTAAATTTTAGTATGTTATTAATTTCAAAGTGTGTCTACTGTGCATTTTCATTATTAGCCAACTAGAGTACTCATTGGAAGAGAAATGTGAGGTATAATGGCTCATTCCCTCACCAACTCCTTTACACGGGGCTGTCTCTGAAGTTTACTTGGAAACTGCAAGTGGAAAAAATGCAGCAGCACACATTGGTGGACAAGAACTGCTACACCTGTATCGCACCTGTACTGTAGCTATATTGTCCAATAGGTTTCAAGGTGTAAGTCAACATGCTGGTTTTAACCTACAAAGATCTACCTGGTTTGCCCTCAGGACCAGCTCCTTCAGGGAGAACTGCCCTATCCCG